ACAATACCGTGCTCGATGGGATACTTGAGAGTAAGGATACCTCTCTTGCTCTGGGCCTCGTCTCCTACATAAGAGTCCTTCTGTCCCATACCGACCATGACGCCTTGGTGACGAGGGCGTCCGACGATAGAGGGGAAGACAGCTCGGGGAGCATCGTCTCCAGCGAAACCGGCTTTGCACATACCGGATCCGTTATCAACAACCAAAGCTGCAACTTCGTCATCCATTGCTATTAGTGTCTAGCTTGGTGAAAAGCAAGAGAAAGAGAGAGAAGAGGTTGAAATAAGTGAAGAGCGTCGAGAGGATAATCCAAAAACTCCCAAGTGAAAGTCCAGTTCAACTGACCAGTCTTTATATAAAAGACTCCAGCCCCGCCCCTAAACTGAGCCACGCCCATCAAAGACACTAAATCTGATTGGTCCTATGAGTGATGTTTGCCAAATAAGGTAATACTAGTGGTACAAGGAGAGGCGAGGAAGCCTTGATAAGATATGCCCTTATATGGAGTAAACGACGGGCGCAGTTCAACTAGGGTATTCATATCTGGGAGGTGTTGTTTGTCCAGTATAAGTTACAGATATGATGGAAATTCATAATAACAATTATAATGACAGCTCCAGAAGTTTCTGGAGGTCTACACTAAGTGGCTATTCTTTCTATAAAGAGCTGTAAAAAGCCACACTTTAACCTCAGAACACTTAGCAAGCATCAAGATTTGACCACAAACCCAGCCTGCCCCACCACACACTTAATCTAATTGTAACTAAAATAGAAACACCAGATAAAACACTATAAAACAAGAGAGAAAACAGTGATTAGCGAAAATATCATTATCATCATAACATTATTAGAGAGTTCGTGACGTCTTTATCAAACGAGACCTTCTGGTATGCATTCGTCAATCTTTAGCGTAGCATCACACCTCTTCACCCAGGCCTTGACATTATTACCGAGTTTGGAACCAGCTCTGATCACCGGGCAAAGGACAATATCACACAGTGTAGGGACATCACCAACCAAGTATGAGCTTGTGCCAAGTGTTGCGTTGAGTGAGCGCAGAACTGATGCTTTCTCTTTTGCGTTTCCATGCACGTAGGTAGAGAGGGAGTCCAACCAGGAGTCAATCTGACTAGCAGTCAATGGTGGCAGAGACTCGTATAGATTGGGACAAAATTGACGAGATAGATAGCGAGAGATGTTGGCGAGACCTTCAACAGGGATTTGTTGACCAGGGGAGACCACCATAACAGGCTGTGGCTCTATGTGAAAATAAAAGCATAGTAGTACCCAACCTTGATATATACATACATGTCATACATATATTCATACATACATTATACATGCACAGAATAGAATATCAAATGCATAAGGTGAGGAAAGGGAGTTACAATAGGAGGCATGGATTTGTCTACAAGTGACATATAATACCACCACCACCACATACATACACATATCTTTCCTCTTCCCCCCCACACATAACAACATATATGATCTCCTTGGCAATATTATTATTGCTAATTCTGCCCTGACCACAATGAAATCAAAAAGGATTATCATAATTATTATACCAACAATACAGGTTACTACCAGTAAAGGCAGCTGCTGGTGCCACAGTTATAGTAGTAGATCATGTACTTCAGTATAAGCTATGTGTACTAGAATTCTTGTCAGTATGTAAACAGCATGCCCTAGCAACCCACAAAATGACCAAATAAGGTTAAAATGCTAAGATGGTTTAATGACTGCTTCCTAGCCATACATCATAACATCAAAGGCTGGTAGCCAATGAGATATCATTTATAACTCAATCAATCCACCTGCCTAGTCATATACAATAGAAAACAAGTGTCAGAAACTAAATCTAAGATGATTAGAGTCAATTATGTATTTCGCAATCAACAGAATGAGATGGATTTTTGAACATATTTGGTACAGACTGATAATCAGCTTATTGGGGAGGAATGTGAATAGCTGGTGTGTCCTTTGGTAGGCTAGACAGAGGAGACAACACCCACTACTGTCACAAAGATAACTGTTGGCATTAAGAGAAAAAAGAAGGGAGAGAGAAAGAAGGGGAGAGAGAGAGAGAGAGAGAGAGAGAGAGAGAAGAGAGAGAGAGAGAGAGAGAGAGAGAGAGAAGAGAGAGAGAGAGAGAGAGAGAGAGAGAGAGAGAGAGAGGTGTGGCAGGTACGGTATACATGTATATACAGTAGATGACCATAAGTCGATCAAATATACTCTAAAAGTTGTTCCAAATAATTCGTGCCTGTTTGCTTTCATATCCATAGTCACTTTCCAAACAGATACTATACAGGTAACAATGACTATTGAAGCAATGAGCAAAGTGTATATACACATTTCCCCTTTCAAATTACAAAGCAATAACATAGCTACAAGATAGCAGTAACAAATGACAGAAATAACTATCACAGAGCAGAATGTGTGGCCACTGCCAGTGGGGCCTTGTCATCTTGGCAGTTATCATTTCTTATATGAGTCAGTGGATGACACAAGCATTCCAATTTGTAGGTATTAACTTACCTCATGCTACACATGCCAAATGTTGCTATGACAAATGACCCAGCAATGCAAGATCACACACAACATAATGAGAAATAACTTAAACAAAATGCGAAGGAATGACACATGCATAACCCACAATCTACCAAGCCCACCACCTGAGTGAACTATTATACTACAGCTAGCTGTACCCTATAAATCATATCAACTGATAATATTGTTTTAACCACAAAATTCAATCAAATGGGGTGCATGGATCATGTACCAGCCAGGTGCACATGTACACATGATTATTACTCTTTCGATCATTATTATACTCACCTTCTTTCCATATTATTGTTATTTTAAGTGCCACGGGATCTTTGTCAGTGTTAGACATGTTGAACAAAGACAAGAGGGCAGGAGATGGGGAAGACAGACCAGTAGAATGGGCAAATGATTTCAGGGCCATTGGCTTCTTGATGTGACGACATAGAGCAAGGAGAGAGTATGGAGGATCAGTTGGGGAACACTTTATGACAACATCTAGTGGAGTGTTTGAAGGCATGTGTGACTATTAGGAAAGAAAGGGAAGAGATAAAGGTAGGGTTTCCCACAGGACTTTGGCATAGTCCTCATGGACTGTCAATGTCAAAACCAGGCCTAAGACCTGTACTATAGTAAAGGGTCTTTGGCCAAATTTTGCCAAAAATGATTAATAGAGAATTCTCCATTTTTATAATTTTTCCTGATACATATACATGTTCTTATGTTGTGTAGCAAGTTTGAGCTGATTCCAATCAAAATTAGATTTTTAATGAATTTTTAAAAGTTGCTCCAAATGCCACATACATAAATATCATTGTAGTACTTGTCAGCTCATAAAGCAAAATTAGCATGCTTTGTGTGAACCCTGATAAAGGAGGGGCTATAGGCTACTGTATGTACCTCTACTGATCGCTGTAATTCATCAGGTGAGAGTCCCAGCTTCTCACCAGTCGCCTTTATATTTTCTTGTAAGTCCTTGATACGAGACATGATGCTTTCCTGTCGATACTCCAGACTATCCAATGCCCTCTCAGTATCGAGTTTCTAATACAAAAATATATAATAATAATAATGGCACATTTACACACTATTTCCTCTAATAGTAATAATAATCTATTTCTCTCTCTCTCTCTCTCTCTCTTTCTCTCTCTCTACCTCTTCCTCTCCTCTAAGTGAGGGTAGCTTGTGAAGTGGTTTTAGTAGATACATGCAGTCCGGTAGTCTCACTTTCTTGATGACAAAATACGGTCTAACCTAAAAAGGACATTAAAATGAGACACACACACACATATAGTGTTATGATTAAAATATTGTTATGATATAATGATAGGTAATCAGTGGACTAGCTTTATTTGGTGATTTGTTATAGTTTGATGATCTTCGATAATTATAATTTGATCATAATCAAAAGATAATAACAAGTTAGAGCCTAACTTCATTAGACAATGACAATAAACAAAACTCGTTATAATGGTCAAGACGCTATTTACATTCACTCATAATAGTGCAAGACACAGGAGAAGATACAAGCTCGTGATATCATTGACATCAAAGAAGGATCAAAGCTAATGAGCATAACTCATAACGGCACGGCCCAGTTAGACAAAATAGCTACATAATATTACTTAAATGCTGTATAGTGGTTATAAATGTCACTAATTTTGCATTTTCATTAAATCACAAAATTAAATTCCACAAAAGAGGTGTGGCATGCACTAAGAAAAATAGCTGTAGAAGGTAAGATTCGCGAAAAATTTATACCAACAAATGGCAAATCTGAACAAATTTGGAAAATTTTATATCAACAAAATAAAAACAATGCAAAATGACCAATTAACAGCTGTTATATAAGCCATGGTCCCTGGATACTGTCTTAATGCTACTAAGAATAGTTTCTACAGGAAATGGGTGTGGCTAAGTTTTTGTGCATTTTTCATCATTCCTCCTTTCTAGTGCCCGGATATAAGGAATCTGACCCGTCTGACTCTAGCACAATAATAACGTACCTTGTACATTGGTTTGTAGGCTTGGACATCCGCCATTTCATCAAAATAAAAGAGTTTATTATACCCCTGTTGTATGCTGACAAAGAAGGTATCCACGTGGGAGGAATCACAGTTATCACACCCATTTAATGGTAATAATTTATTCATAGCTATCTATGAATATTAATTAGGCAGTGTTTTGACGGCGTGGCTTAAATTATTAAAACCACGCCCAGATATAATTTTCAACTGAGAAGATTTGCTGTGTGTTGTGTGTTTCTATTTTTAAATTCAACTATATTCATTACCCAGGTTTTATTATGGCAGTATCTTGGACCGGTAATAAATTACCACACGGGACAATGTCCACGCCATATGCAAAAGGAATGATAGTAATATCAGGGAGCTCCTGTAAGGAGCTTGCTGCTTCAGTCACAAGGCATGTGAAAGAGCTCATTTTCTGCTTAAAAATCATCATTTTTTGGCTCATTGTTCATATTTAGTCTTTAAAATGACCTCGTTCTTTCCCTCGTTAGGCGTATGGACGTCCCTCTCTCTCCAACTGACATAAAGAAGGACTCGAGCAACGAGACTCACGTCGACATCAATGTCTCTGTGAGAGGAAAAGATGTCTTCATTATTCAAACTGGTCATGGGTAGGAGGCACCTTTATAATTTATTCATTCATTTTGAATCTTTATGCAGAAATCTTTCATGCAATGACCTCCTGATGGAGCTGTTTATTCTTACTTATGCCTGCAGGACATCTTCTGCAAGGAAAATAATTGGTAAAATTCAAATTATATAATATTTTAAGGCAATTTGTGAAATTACAGGCTATTATATATATAGCATCAAGAGTAAATAATGAGTGTATTATTTACTCTTGATAGGTTCATTTTGAACATATTTGATATGCAATCACAAAACTGAAACTATTACTAAGTATTTCAAAGTTGTTTAAATAACTGGATGTCATTTTGCAGGCGTGATACCTTATCTGCCATACAGCACTCATTGCATAATGAGAAGAAGAGGTTGTGTCACTGCTAAGCTCTTAGCATCGATGATGGCAAAGTCAGGTAAGGAGAGAGGGGAGGGTATTGGAAAAGAGGAGGGATATATCTGTAGTGTAAAAACTTTGAAAGGTTATGTCAATTTTGAGGGTGTATCTGTATAGATAACTTTCTTAATTGATTATCTAGGTCTCAGCCATTTAGTGACTATGGATCTCTATCATAAAGAGATCCAAGGATTTTTTGACTTTCCTGTCGATAATCTAAGATGTTCGCAGTTCCTCATTCAATACATTACCAGTCATGTAAGTAGACATCTCTCTCAATAGGTGGCATTGCCCTCTATAGAGAGTGGCACATTGAAGACATAATGTGAACATACTCTGCCAACATAATACTTTAATAATAATGATGATGATAGTAATAGTAGCATCTAAACTGGGAGCATGCTGCCCACATGATCTTGATAATACTCTTATGTGGCAGATGTTTTACGTATATTATGCTCCTAGCCTGTTTGATTTTGATAGACACACTGATAAGTTTTTATTTATTTATTCATTTTTAGATACCAGACTATAAGAATGGAGTTGTTGTGGCTAGATACCCTGGAGTTACATTAAGGTAAATGTCTGCTGTTCCTTTCTTTAATTCTAGTCTCTTGTCTCTCACAGAGCTACCTCGTTTGCTGAAAGGCTCAGACTCTCCCTTGCCGTTATTCATGGCGAAGTAAAAGATCCACATGACGGTCGTAATTCTCCGCCTCCTGACGACCACACCCCACGAAGAATACGTAAATTAATAAAAATTATATATAACATAATTAATTATTAGTATTATTGTTGTTGTTGTTTTTGTAGAAGTCGCACGTAAGGAGAAGCCTCCGTTAAATATAGTAGGAGATGTTGAGGGCCACAACGCATTTATCATTGTGAGTTGTACAGCAGCACTGTTACTTATTTCAGGCATAATAATGTGCTTACAGCCTTACTTGATACAGTAGGTGCCCACAGGTGTTTGGAGGTGTCTATTACTGTAATTTCCTTTATTCAATGCAATGTACATGAATGCATATTATTTGCTCTGTTGCATAAGGGAAGGAACTAATAATTTTTATTTAATTTTAATTTTGTGTGTTAGGATGATGTCATTGATGAAGTGGACAGTCTAATAGCAGCTGCCCAGTGCATCAAGAAAAGTGGAGCAAAGAAAATATTTGTCGTGGCGACACACGCTCCTCTCTCCGGGGATAGCCCCAAGAAGCTACAAGAATCCTGCATCGATCAGGTAATTGCGACTAAATTGGAACTCAAAAAATATATTTAAAACCCTGACAATCAAAATTGCAATTTTTAAAAAAACGTTCTACATAGCACAAGAGCATGCAAACGTAATAAAATGTAGTGTAGTCATTTATGCATTTGGTGTAAATCGACAAAGGAAGGACTATAATTATTGAAGTACATTTTAAAATTGAATGTATCGATTAATGTACTTAATTTTTACAGGCAATTGTTACAAATACTATTCCTCAAGAGGAGAACTCAAAGATATGCACAAAGCTTCAAACCATCGACATAAGCGTGATGTTATCTGAAGCGATCAGACGCATCTATCACGGCGAATCAATGTCTTATTTATTCAAAAACGTGCCACTGGAAGATTAAAATGTATACTATTTTATGTGTGTATGTGTCAGTTTTTGTCTTTTTCCATCAGTTTAGCAAGTTTATCTACACAAAACATAACACAACATTGTATTATAATAAATGTTCATTATCATTGTGTCATTAGTGTTATTACTATTATAATACTGTCATTATCGAGTTAATTCAAAACCCTAATTAAGTACTCACTGTGATTTTCTTTTAATACTGACGCTGGATCCGATTCATATAGTACTAGACTGCTACCATATTTTTTATACACACCCTAAAATGCAGTATCAGTATGTATTATAAATGGCTCACATATAAAAAGTAACAATTATAAATACAGGTCAATCCATTGCTCTCGTACTTTTGGCTTCTTTCTAGAAGAGAGTTCTGATTCTATCAATTTACATGTTCTTATTTCTTTAACCTGTAATTTAATAATAATTTTTAAAGATAAAAACTAGTCAATGCTACCTGATTTTCATCCATTTAATACAGGGCGTGGCTACATTAATTAAAACAGGGTGTGGCTGGTACACGTGGAACAATCACATAGGTCTACGTGTCTTCATCCCACCCTAACGCCTATTCTTTGGAGTATCATGGAGTTCTCTTTACTTTTCATTGCCCTCCTTTTAGTTAGCAGTATCAGTGGTATCAGAGCAGAGGATGAGGAAGCTGAGACTCCCTCGAGTAGCAAAAATGACGAAGACCCCGTCCTTGTTCTCACCTCAGACAACTTTACTCAAACGATCGAAAGTGAGAAGTTAATCCTTGTCGAGTTCTACGCCCCCTGGTGTGGACACTGCAAGAACCTAGCCCCGGAGTACAAGGTGGCGGCGAGAGAGCTCCTCTCTCACGATCCTCCCATTCCTTTAGCTAAAGTTGATGCAACCTCAAACGAAGAGTTGGCTCGTCAATACGAGGTCACTGGGTATCCAACAATGAAGGTTTTTCACGACAAGGTTCCATATGAGTACGAGGGTCCAAGAAAGGCGGACGGGATTGTGTCGTACATGAAACGTGAGGCTAGTCCGGATTGGAAACCACCCGTAGACCCTGTCCTTGTCTTAACCGCTGAGAACTTTACCGAGACGACTAATAACGCGGACATAATACTGGTTGAGTTCTATGCCCCGTGGTGCGGCCATTGCAAGCAGTTGGCTCCGCAGTATAAGAAAGCAGCCGATATGCTTCAAAGAGCAAATACCGGGATTAGTCTAGCTAAAGTCGATGCTACAGTTGAAACTGAACTGGCTAAGAAATACGATGTGAGTGGTTTCCCAACCATGAAGCTCTTTCGCCGAGGGGAAGTTTTTGAGTATAGTGGACCACGGGACGCTCAAGGTATCGCCACTTACATGGTAAAACAAGCAGAGCCAGCTCTGAGTCTACTCGTCTCTCCGAAAGACCTTGGGTTTCTCCTTAAGGAGGAGACCCCAGTCGTTGTTGGATACTTTGAGAATGAAGAATTAAGCGAGTTTAAAGCGTATGCCAGTGTAGCTAATGAAGGACGAGAGGAGCCTCTGCTGTTTCGATATTTTACTGAAGAGGACATGGCAAAGAAATACAAGTTGAAGCCTAATTCGTTAGCAGTCTTCCTACCGCGTGTCCTACAATCGAAATTTGAGCCAAACGTAAAGTACTACAAGGGAACACTCTCAGGTCCTGCCAAGGAACTAGTCGGTGAGCTAAAGAAACTATCACGTCCTATAGTTGGGCTTCGTAATCGTAACAATGTCCCAGGCCTCTATGCTACCTTCCCTCTCATGATTGGGTACATATCCAATGAAGATGAAGAGAATTCTCTCGACTACTGGAGGTCAAAGCTAGCCCCAATAGCAAAGAAACACAACGACATCATATTTGCCATCTCCTATGAGGCGGAATTCAAGGAAGAGCTAAAGGCACTGAATCCAAACGATGACATGGAAGACATATTCTTTGTGCTCTGGGGAAACGAGAAAGAAAAGTATACCTACTCCTCCGATGAAGTGAGCTCCAAGGACATTGAGAGGTTCATTAATAATTACAAGACCGGGAAGCTAAAGCCTTTCCTTCGCTCTCAGCCTATACCCGACAAACAGGCTGGGCCAGTCGTCACTGTCGTTGCAAAAACCTTCAAGGAGATTGTATACGACCCTAAGAAAGACGTTCTCATAGAGTTTTATGCCCCTTGGTGTGGCCACTGTAAATCCTTAGCTCCAAAGTACAAATCTCTGGCTAAGAAATACAAAGACAACGAGAAACTTGTTATTGCTAAGTTTGATGCTACAGCTAACGATGCCCCAGCAGAATTTGAGTTCAGCGGATTCCCGACTTTGTTTTTTGTGGCGGCCGGTGAAAATAGCAAGCCTCTTTCTTACGATGGGGAGACAGAAGTGAAGGCTATGGTAGAGTTCTTGGAGGAGAATGCTGTGTATTCTCTTGGAGGTGGTAGTAAGGAGGAGCTCTAACATGAGGGGCTGAGACACTTTTGTATTTCAAACAATTTAATGTTATAGCTAGGAGTTGTATTATTATTTTTCAATTTTTGAGGGCTGTTAATTTTTTTGAAATTATTGAACCTACAACTGGATATTAATAATGAATCCAATATTAATTTTTCAGTTCTCAATTCACATACATACATCCTACAGGTGAGCTTTTGAGTTTTTACTATAATAAAAAGTATTGGTACAGATCAAAATATGGTACATATCAAATACTTTGTGTGTGTGTTTGTGCATGAGACAAATCGGAGAATAAATAATCAAAATAAGCGATAATGAATATAGTTTTAATCTGCCATTGTTGATAACACTGTCTGACGGAGAAAGAATTTCATTTGATCCTAAAAAAGGAAAGAAAACTAAAAATCACTGCAGTCCAATGCTGTATTAACTGACTTTGTTTTTTCCCCAGAAGTCTACAACACGACTGGGATCTTCAAAAGGGTCCAATGGCCTTTGAACTAAGATGAAAGAGAGAGCACAGTAAATATGCTGAAATTGTTTTTATTGCTATTATTATTATTCTTACCAGTTTCATCTAGCGACATTTCGACAAGGGTCCATTGCAAGTGGAGCTCACTCTCAACTCTAAAGTACATCCTGACCACATCTTCAATCGTACTACCAACTGGTATCCTCAAAGTCTGTCATACAATGTACATAATAATAAAATATAATATTATATTCTTCCTTCTCTCTTCCTCCTTTACCTTAAAGACTCCATCCCCAGTGTATACTCTAGCTACCCTCTCACTGTCTCTCAGTGGCGGTATTTCCCTCCCAGTCTAAGAAGGAAATCTGTTACTGAAGGAATGAATGAATGACTGTACTTACCACATCAACCATCCTTTGCTTCATATTCAGTATCATGTACATGGGAGCAGGTGTAAGCTAAAGGAGAGATATTTTTAACAAAAAATAATTAGTAAAAAGTATATAAATGGAATGGGATAGTATTACTTCATCATTTGATGGTTCCAATGGTTTATTGTCATGACTGGAGACACATTGCGAAGGAAACCAACCAAAATTATCATCAATGATCCCAAGATACCTGCAACAAGGCCGTTGGGAGTCAGAATGTGTACATTATTATTAAAATAATATGAAATAATAATTCTGCTATTGATAATTTTTGAGTTATGGCCCATGGTTTTTTTTCAAAAAATGGCTCCGAAAACACCCCAAATTTTTATTACATTTTCTGATATATATTGATGTCATTATGCTGTGTAGAAAGTTTGAGCTGATTCCGAGCTAAAATTTTTGAGTTATGGCCATTTTTAAAAAATGGGCCAAATTTTGAAAAATACCCAAGGCTATAGCCCATGGTTTTTTTCAAAAAATGGCTCCGAAAACACCCCAAATTTTTATTACATTTTTTGATACATATTGATGCCCTTATGCTGTGTAGAAAGTTTGAGCTGATTCCGAGCTAAAATTTTTGAGTTATAACCATTGTAAAAAGCTAAGGTACATGTTGTAAATGCATAAATCTCATACAGGTATTACACATGTACATGTGCATTGTGTTCATTGCTAATTACCAATCAGGAGAAGGATCAAATGGCTCCTCTGAAGAATACAGACCCTATTTTACATAATACAAAGCAAATAAAAGTATAATAATCATAGATACAACATATTGTGGTAGATTGACTTACTGGCTTCCATCTGTCATTAGTGTCCTTAAAACCAATGATAGACAACTCATCACCAGCTCTGAAACTTAATTCTAAAAAAGAGAAAAGGAAAGAGAGAGAGAGAGAAAGAGGAGAAAAGAAAAGTACAGAGCATTTGAGTTTCAATTTCAGAGCAAACTTGTCAACTAACCGTCCTTAAGCATCCCCAAATAACTGATTTTGGACTTGACATGGGCACAATAGTACACCTCATCTGGTATACCCAAATGAATAATCAACTGAAATGAAAAGAAACAATTAAGACATTAAATCATGAGAAAGGCTAGCATAAGGTCCCACTAACTTTACTAAAGAGTTGCTTCTGTGCTAGAATGTGCCTGTGTATCTCATTATACCACGAGTCTTTCTCTTCTACTGTGGAAGCCACAAACCGATACAACTTATTAGGAGTGCCAAGAATAAAGCCTTAGGAACAAAAAAACAAATAATTATTATGAAAAGACGTGCTGAATTGTTTTGTCTATAGCCCATGAAATGAAGTAGACTGGCATTAAATATTAGTAGAACATTAGTCTGTGCTATCAACAATAATCATATTACCCATTAAATGTACTATTAAGTGATGGGGTGGGTTTTACCTTTGTCTGGTATGTGAGGATTAGTCGATGAACTGCCAGTAAATGTGTCACTGATCCAAGCATGGACAAGCATTACTCTCTCTTTGAGTCTGAAGGAACGCTTGTTCTTACTTGTCGCCTAAAATTGACATTATAATAAAAAATAGACGAATAAATAAATATGAGTAGCATATAACAATACAATGCATTAATACACAGTACCTGTGCAATGAGGATCACGTCACTGCATAGGAATATGTATCTATCGATTGAATCACTGAAGTCATTACTAGTCTTGTATATTGTACCCTCTTTAATGAATTGCCTGAGAAGAAGAGAGAGAATGAAATACATATATGTATATATCATAGTGGGAATGAAATACATATATGTATGATAGTGGGTACCTTTGGTGCTCTAGTTCAAAGAATGACTTAAAACTAAGACTGTCTCTTGGCCCAGTCTCCAGTAAAGGCCTACACAGCAACCATATCAGATTATAATTTATAAAACAATGTGTATGACATACTTTCTTTTCTTTAAAGTGGCTCCTTCTTTTCGAGCTATAAGAAATAAAAGAAAATCAACTCAAAATGACGTAATATCGTTACTCCTTACATCTCTTGAAATATTTCTTGGCCTGGACAATGTCCTGGGGGAAAGGAAAACAAGGCAATCAACACTAGACTAGTCATTAATGGCTGCTACTTACCACATCCTCATTAGGGAATCTTTTAGAAATAGCAAACAACCTCAACTCATTCTCAGCTCGTCTTATGTTCTCGTTACAATCAGTTGCAATCTATCAGTAACAGCTGCCAGTAAAAAAACAATATCAACTTATTTATGACGTTTACTTTCTGTATGAGGACTAGTGCGTCTTTGACTGCAGTGTGATCACAATGATCCTATGAGAGAGAGAGGGGGGGAAAAGAAATTATCAGGATAGGGTCTGGTATTATCGAGTAGAAATCACGGACCTCGGGGGTATGTTTTAAAAGATCTTTAAGGAGAAGCTCGTATCTCGGGACTCTCTGAATGGGCTCCAGCAAGAGAGAATCAAGAGTTCTCTGACACTCGAGCTCAGTCTTCTCTAGCCACTTCTGAAACTTGTCCTGCTTTGATATTTTCATCAAAACCTGATTAGGATACAGAAAGAAAAAGCAAGAGGAAAGAGATTATAATGACAAACAGCTCTCGGTTGACTCAATTGGTTAGTGATTCTTATTACCTGTCTTCCAATGGTATGGTGGACTGCATACGTCATAAACAGTTTAAAATGTGCTCCCTATGATAACAAAATAAGCCAATAATTGTATGACCACACAGACACAAGTAGACGTATATACACAGTTAAAGTATACAAAGAGATATTATTATTATTATTATTATTATTATTATTACCATTTGAACAAAAACATCTCCGATATGAGTCAGCTTATCATCCCAACCTTCCATTCTTGACTTTAGCTGAACATTAAGACTCTCACTAAGACTCAGGAGTGGCTATAAGTAACAGATACAGACATAATATTGTAAAATGATAGCAGGAGAAGGAAAACAGCAGCTGGTCACTTTCCCTCCCTTCACTTACTTGTATATGAGAAAAGATAGGCCCATAGTCTTCGTGAGGAATGACAGTCAGTGATTTGAGTGGCTCGACAAATTTCTGTCAAAAAAGAGAAATGATATTAAATGTACTAAATGTTATTGTTAATGGGGCAGTAAATATACACAGAATCTTGTGCTTTTTTGGCGAAAAGAGTTGCCATTATGCATTATCAACCACAAATTTGATTTATTACCACTACCATATAGGGCCTGTATTTATACTTTCTATTTTGACAGCTGTAGCGTGATACTACTACTACTACTCATTCCTCTAACACTCCACATGATGCTCCAATTTGTTTATTGTATTTTTGTGTAGACTAGAACAGGAATTATAGCATAACTACATAAAACATTCACTATTAATATGCTGTCACCACTCCTGGTAACCGATACGTTTGATGGCTATGTATAAGTGATTATGATTTCATTCCTAGTAATAATTCATTTATTTAGTATATTCTTGTCTTACTTCATTCAGCATTCTTAGCTTCCTCAGATAAGTTTCCTCTGATGTATACATTTCCTGAAAAACAAAGAGAAAGCAACTATAATTATCAATGTGCGTGTAGTTATTTGTACACTCCTCTCTATCTCTCCCCCTCTTCTTACCAGAGCTATTTTTGATCTTCTTGATGAGTCAGATTCAGAGAAACGAGGATCTAATATTATTAACACAAAAATCAAATCATTGATCAAGAATCATCTCAGCTGACACACGGCTTACCATTACGATAGTCTTCCATAGAGCGGACGGGGATTTCACTAGAGACAAACAAAGATTATGTAAACAAGTTAAAAAAACAAGTTCAAGTTATGTTTCTATTAGTGTGATGCGTTTGCAAAGTGACAGAGAGAGAGAGAGAGGGAGGGAGTGGACTTAGTATGTTTATCAGAAACATTAATTAGTCAAAGAATTTCCATCAACTTCTCTCTATCTCTAATGTACCTCAGTCTATAAATCGGTGAGGTGTCTTCTGATACATAATTGAGCGGAAAGAACCCGATCTAAAAGTCACAAACATAATTCAGCTGCTACTTATGTCTATAAGTACCTCCAAGTCTTTTATTCTGAGTCCTCTCATCCACCCATCATCAAATGTCTCTGCTACTAGGAGTATGTCACCCTGAGCAGGTCAAAAAGGTTAAAATGAATGTCTATATCATACATTATCTAATGATAGTGTTATAATGCTGTCATGAGTCTGTGGATAGTAAGTATTATAAAGGAAACTGCATATTGGAAAGGTCAGGAAGACCCAGGAGTAAAAATGAGTAAATAGTGGAAGAGAAGCCAAACTTTCCCTCATTGTGGTTAGTGTTACCATGAACACACACAAACACACAGGCTAACCAAGTCCATTCTAAAATATTTATTTTATCCGGAGTAGAATATGCATTGATACTTCATATTATACTAATAATTTGCATTGAACTTTATCCTCAGAGGCAAAACAACCTTGGAGCAGCTCATGCTTATGATTGAAAGAGAGCTGCTGATTAATGCACTCCAATAAACGAATTAGTATCACTAAACAAACTGTCCAATCACCACAGTTTGTCTTAAACACACTATAAGGATACTGTTGCTTCACTACCAAGTCTGTGGAACCCTTTCATTGTAGTATTAAATGCATATTACAGTTCACTTGCTTTTTGTAAACTTAGCTCATCTGGTCTCTGTGCTGTAAAATTCCACAGGGCTATGTATCTATCCAGTGCTTTATTAGGAGAAGAGCTGCAATGAGAAAAGAGTCAGAGAGAGAGAGAGAAAGAATGGAGTATGGTGAATGCACAAGTACACGTGTATCATTTCACGCTCCATAAAAGAGAGGGTCTGTAGTCTCTACTTACACGTTACTGTCTCTCAGGGTTCCATTCATGACTCCTGGGCTGACAACAGTGGAGGGTACGGGAGCTAAGAGCGAGAGAAGAGGTCTTTCTCTCTTCGCGTGATTCCAAACAGTGGAACTGCTAAATGAGGGAGGGTGGGGCTCCGAGCTCATTAATATTCCAATGAGGCAATATGGCCGCCGCTACTCTCTCTTTAGTGGATACAATACTATTCGCAGACACAGTGGAATGGTGCAAAGACCCAAGATATAGGGGAATCCTTGCCTGTGGAACTTATCAATTGGACGAGAAAAGCGGACAAAGACTTGGAGGAATAGAACTATACAAATTACAAGAAGACATGCAAGGGTTAAAAATAAAAATAACACCCACGCATAATAATTATGTAGTACCACTGCCTTTTCTATAATTCTGCAGGCTTGAGAAAACAGGCTCTGTGAGTGTAGCAGGTGTACTGGACATGAGATGGTACAAACATAAAACTAGCATAGTAATACATTCACACGCATATAGCTGCATATTGTGTACATAACGTGTACCTGTGTTTACAGGTCACCAGTCGTGGGAAATACTACACAGTCGTTGTTGTTAATAGCTAATGCTGATCAACATGTTAGGATGTATTCTCTTGATACTACCAGCACAGGACATCAAACAGTGAGTGAGGGCATGAGTGAATTAAACTCCTGTGATGATTGTAATCACGGAAATTGGATTTGTGAACCTTTTATTTGATAATAGAATGGCATATACCCATAGGCGGTTGCAGGCCTGGGCATTAGGGGGCAATGCCCAGGTTGACTTTTTGACCAATAATTATATTCATGATTCTGGTGTGGGCATCCAGTGTAAACTGTGGTAGTTCAACAGGCTTCTTTGTTGTTTTATGCTAAGAAATCATCTCAATGAAGTTATAGATCAGTATTGTCCATTTTCCTTGCAAAATTGTATGGAACCACACCCACTCCACACCCACTAATTATTGATGCCCAGGTCAAACCAAATTTCTGCAACCGCCCATGCATATACCGTATAGCACTTTATTTTGGTAGCACTTTATTTTGGTGATTTTGTGTAAAATTGTAATTGGCGGTTTTTAATTTGGCGATTTTTGTGTACATGTGCATTACTGAGCATGTGCATTAATGATTGGCGATTTTATTATTGGCGATTCTGCTTCCAAACCGCCAGTCGCCAAAATAAAACTCCGCCAAATTAAAGCGTTATACGGTACTTATTTTTAATTTCACAATGAACATATTGTAGCTATTGCTATTTATTTAATGTTATAGAAATTAGAAGCAACTGGATCAGTAAAGATACCATCAGACAGAGACCCTGCTACTAATAGTATACTTTGTCTCTCAATTGATGTACAGCGTAGCTTAGTTGTGATCAGTGATTCTGCTGGTTGCATTACTTTAATTGATAGTGAATCTATGGATGTGAACAGACAGTGGAAAGGACACGCCTACGAAGCATGGGTTGCAACTTTTGATAATTGGAATAGTGACATCATATTATCAGGTATGAGGCATAGCATTTTGTGTGATGAAAAAAGAATGGTCATTTATTTCATGTTTTTCAAGAGCAAAATTTATTCTATAATGTCTAGAGTATTTAAACTAAAGCCAAAATTGCATGAAATAGAACTTCATCTACTTGCTGTGGCCACAAAATGTATTTAGTATGTGACATATGGGGTTTACCTATTGGGATGCATGAGAAGAAGTACACAGTATCCTTCTATTATCAGTGAATAGTGTGTCCCATTGATAGATAGTCTCCTGTTACAGTGTTATTATTATTATTAGGTGGAGATGACTCCAAACTGTGTATATGGGATAGAAGAGAGAGTGAACCCATATACACAAAGAGGTTATTTATACCACAAATTATATGCAGTAGTAGTAATTAGTATAACCTGTCCCTCTCATGTGTAGGTTTGAGATGGGTGTATGCTCCATACAATCTCATCCTAAGAAAGAAAACCAATACATTACAGGAAGGTCAGTCTCAATACAATTATTGCACAGTAAGTCTTGATGTTATTATCAGCTATGATGAAGTTGCAAGACTATGGGATCAGCGAAAACCGAGCACTCCGTTAAAAGAGTTACATTTAGGAGGAGGAGTATGGAGACTTAAGTGGCATCCTTGTCTTCCCAATGTACTAGGATCTGCTACAATGTATGCAGGGTTTCACGTATTGAATATAGAGACTCAAAGGATAATCTATCAATATAATGGAGGAAGGGATGACGAGAGAAAAGAGAAAGAAGTGTTGTTGGGATACGGGATAGACTGGTTCCCATGTTCAGAGTCTGAGTCTGAGACTAGAAAAAGCACGATGCTAGCTTCATGCTCATTCTATGATCATTCATTGCAACTCTGGACCTGTGAGATAATCTAATCTGACTAATAATGAGCTCGCAGTACATATTATTATACACAGTGACAGTCAATCATATACATTGCAATATTATTTGGTCGTTAAGTTGATAGTTTTTGCTTCTTTGAGGCAGGAGCATCAGTCCTTTCTTCCTCCTCTTCCTCCTCTTTTGATGTTTCGGTATGGAGTAGCTCGGGTTTTAATTTCATTGCAAAGTGATGGGACCACAAGGCAAGCTCTACTTTATGAGCATCCCACGATTTCCCTAAGTCTCCTACGAGAAGAAAAAGGGAAAGACTATGAAAGATGATTCATCATATTAATAATGTGAATAATGTAAGTACTGAGTAGTATCACTATTACTTGCTTTTTCCTGTAAAGCCTCAGCATAGTCCAAGTATTGTTTAAGTGAATAGTTAAGTGGTCCAATACCAGGGACTGATTGTGTTGACTCATCTGACATGAATGGAGCAACATGAGGTGCAACAGTACACAGCAATGCTGAATGAAAAGAAGTTTGGCTAATAATGCTTTGTAAGAGAGAGAGAGAGAGAAAGATTACCTGATGCAGTAGCTGGCCCAACTGCTTTTAGTTTTGTTAGCATCTCAATTGCTTTGCGGACATTAGGTAAAAGAGAAAAGGCTTTAGTTGTAATATCCATGACATTCTTCTCTGTGTTTTCTTTCACTAGGTCTGTCAATCTGGGTCTAAACTTGCCCCTCTGTTGTATTTAAAATGATTGTAAAATGCATGGCGCATGTATTTCAACATACGGTCAATTTCCATTTCATTAATTGGCATAGCTCGGCTGAATTAAAATGAGGAGGATCACGCGATAAAACAGACTTCGTAAGTTCCTCTTGATACCTGAAAAATTATGCATAATAAGCAGCAAACTTGTGGTCAATTTACAAAGTATATCAAATACTTTGTCGCAACAGGATTAGTTGTTATATGTCAATTTTAAAAATACATGCAAATTCCATAATACAGTTTCAATCTAGTTCTTTTTTCTCTTACCATTTGTCAAGGTGTGATAATGTGTCCTCTTTCTTCACTTTTCTTTTGCTTTTGCTCACTTTCTGTTCACTGATTAACTCTACTATATCTTTATACACATCAAGCGATTTCTGCCATAACTTCTTGTCTTCAATCAACATTAAATTCTCCATTTTACAAGCAGCCATTTTACTTTTTATTAATTTATATTACCCCAGCAAAAATTAACAAGAATAAAAATTGGGTGTGATTTTGGAGTCATTTTTAAAACAATGGGATAGATCTATAGCCTTGGGTACTTTTCAAAAATTGGCTCATTAAAAAAAATGGTCATAAGTCAAAAAACTGAAGCCAGAATCAGCTCAAACTTTCTACATAGCATAAGGGCATCAATATGTATCAGAAAATGTAATAAAAATTTGGGGTGATTTTTTAGCCATTTTTCGGAAAAAACCATGGGCTATAGCCTTGGGTATTTTTCAAAATTTGGCCGTTTTTAAAAAATGGTCATAACTCAAAAAATTGAAGTCGGAATCAGCTCAAACTTTCTACATAGCATAAGGGCATCAATATGTATCAGAAAATGTAATAAAATTTTGGGGTGATTTCAGAGCCATTTTTTGGAAAAAACCATGGGCTATAGCCTTGGGTATTTTTCAAAATTTGGCCGTTTTTAAAAAATGGTCATAACTCAAAAAATTGAAGTCTGAATCAGCTCAAACTTTCTACATAGCATAAGGGCATCAATATGTATCAGAAAATGTAATAAAATTTTGGGGTGATTTCGGAGCCATTTTTTGGAAAAAACCATGGGCTATAGTACAGGGTACTTTTCAAAAATTGACTCGTTTCTAACTAAAGAAATTGAAGTTGGAATCATCTCAAACTTTCCACATAGCATAAGGGCATAAATATGTATCAAAGGGTAAGTGTAATTGGAAATGTACTATTTATATACATTATTTTTTGAATGCGCATAACTCAAATATTTGTATAGCTAGATCTACATCAGCTTCACCAATATCATTTACAAGAACACATTATGTGACAAATAAATCTATAGTTAAAATGATAAAACGCAAATTGTGCCACACTAAAGAATGCAGCAGCTCCCATAGCCATTTCCTCAAGGAACAGATACAGCTGCTTGCAAGTGACCAATAGGATCTCTCAGATCCTCCTCTAAGGAGTACAGCATTCCTATAGTAAGGTAGCATGAATCAAGAAAATTTTTAAAATAAAATTTTGCGCTCATAATTATGAATATCATCATCATCATCATTACCAGTATTTGATTTGCTGTCAGCTATGAATGTGAGCACAAACGGTAAATAGTTGAACTGTATCACCTTAGAGAGAAAAACGACAAAAATAAAAATCGCACAATCATCCAGCTGCAACTATGTATAATTTTACCTGATACCCTGAGTAGTATGATATGATGCTTGTATTCTTGCCGACTCCTAATTTACTGGCCTAAAAGAAGAGAGGGAGAGGGATAAAAAGATAAAGAGTAGGTGCATAAAATATTCAGTAAATACTATTTGTACCTGTTCGCTTGCGATGGCAAAGGTTCCCATAAAAATTGGTTTGATTACGCCAGTAGGAAAATGGTCAGTGTGTACTATGAAAATTGACAGATGGCCTATCAAATTTTACTATCACACTAGCGAATCATACCTTCAACAATTTGAACTCCATCTCTGTCAGATACTGAAATACATCGAAGCCCATCCACCCTATTTAAAAAAGAGAATGAACTTGATTCAATGTACATATATCTACACAATACATGTACATGTATCAGAGCCAAAAATATTAATTAAAGGTGCTAAAAAAACTAACAGGTGTAAATGCTTCTTAAGCACAGCCTGCAAACCCTGTAAAAGGAGATAAAACAAGTCATAATCAGAAGAAAAACAAATCTTACTTCGTCCATTTTGTACTAAAAGAGGCGTGATTTTAATAAATTCGTAAGGTGTGGTTTCCCCACTTGATGACATGGCCGCTCCCCAAGAACCACCAAAGCTTGAGGCGAAATCTCCTCCAGCCGAGCCTCAAAAGAAAAGCAGGGAGGACTTTAACTTTGACAGAATCATAGGAGAAGGTTCTTATTCGACGGTAAGCTCTTGTGCTTTGGGTAAAAGTAGTTGTAATGGAAAATACCACACCATCTTTTTGCTTGTAGTTATGAAATATTATGTAGTGATGTATGTACTTGCTTGTTCTTTCCTGCAGGTTATATTGGCTACAGACAAGTCAAGCAAGAAGCAATATGCCTGTAAGAAAATTTGCTCTTGTTTACCAGCACAAAATATGTTTACGAACCTTTAATTTTCACTTTCATTATATTTTGTTACACTGTTTTCTTAGTCTACCTTCTCCCACTTTCTCTTTTATCTTCCCATGCATTCCTTCATACATTGTTTTGCTCTCTCTCCCCCTCTCTCTTTTCTATTGCTTTTTTTCATTTCTTCTCTCTCTCCTCTTAGTAAAGATTCTTGATAAGAGACACATCATAAAAGAGAAGAAGGTCCAGTATGTTAGCAGGGAGAAAGACGTACTTGCTCGCATTGATCATCCCTTCTTTGTTAAACTCTATTTCACTTTTCAAGACAAAGATAACCTTTGTATCCTTTTTACTGATAAACCCTCTTTCTCTTTCATCTTCTCTCCTCCTCTCCATTCCACCCCTCTTTTCTAATGGTGGAAATAAAAGGTTTTATAAATTACATTTCCTCGCTCTTACTTTGGTAATCAAGTATTATATGTACACATTCTAACTAATAGTCCACCTCAGAATCACTATAATGCATGTGTAATGGTTGAATGTTTTATTATGAATCAATATTATGTACAAATAAACACATTTAATTATCATACCTTGACATCTGGCCCTGTAGATTTTGGACTAAGTTTTGCCGAACAAGGGGAACTTTTGGACTACCTAAGAAAGGTTAGGAGATCCCGACAGACCTAATAAATTGTTATACTCTTACAGGTTGGGGCTTTTGATGAGAATGCAACACGGTTCTACACATCAGAGATAGTCATTGCTTTAGAATATCTTCACGGGAAGGGAATAATACACAGGTAAGCAACTTAGGATTATTTTATCTGCTACTGTATAATGATGTACATGCATCCAATATTTATTCATGTATTTATGGTTGATGGGCTACTCAAAAGCAATAATGGTATAATAATGTGATTATCTGTATCATAGTAATAACAATGAGTATTGATCAGTAATGCATGCACTGTAGCAACCAAAACAAGAGTCATATCATAAGTAATGAAAGATTATCTGATAAATTAAACTCTATCATACCATTTTGCCTCATGCATGAGGACTCAATACCTTCTTTATTCCTTATTTTTCTCTAGAGACCTAAAGCCAGAGAATATACTCCTTAATAAAGACATGCACATACAGATAACTGACTTTGGTACTGCAAAGATTTTTGAATCCGACGAAGACGGTAAGCCTCTTAAAAATGATATAATTCCCAGCCATTGTTTGCTGTCTAGTACACATGTAGGCGTATGTACATTTGTCTTGTGTACATATCCATGCACATACATTCTTCTTTAATGATTTCTCATTGTTATTGTTTATCTTCACTGCCTGCCCAAAGCAACAGGATAATACGTAGACTCTTACATCCTAAACACATGCTCCGCACATGCAAAGAAAAACTACATTTACTAGTGCAGGTGTTTAGTTTATTATTGATTGGTTGGTGTTGTGTAAAGTAGGAGTGACTTAATCTAATTAGTAGTGCATTATTTTACCATATACAGTGTACATGCAAGAGGAGAGAGGGAGAGGGAGGACATCCAGTTATACTTGTATTTCTTATTGTAGAGAAGGCCAGTTCGTTTGTTGGTACTGCCGAGTATGTTTCACCTGAACTCCTTCAATCAAAAGTAGCCTATAAAAGGTAAGTTGCTTACGGCTACCACACACACACACACACACACACACACACACACACACACACACACACACACACACACAAACACACACACACACAAACACACACACACAAACACACACACACAAACACACACACACAAACACACACACACACAAGGAAGAAGACATAATTGGAGTAAAGAAGTATAACCATTTCCTTTTTGTTTTTTAGCTCAGACTTATGGGCTCTTGGTTGCATCATATACCAGTTCCTGGCAGGGCGACCTCCTTTCCATGCAGCGTATGTTAACTATACATGTTCACCTCCTTTATTTATTATGTGCAGGAATGAATACTTGTGTTTTCAAAAGATCATTAAACATGAATACTCCATACCGGATGGATTCCCAGACAATGCAAAAGACCTAGTGGAGAATTTACTAGTAAGTCAATCAATGTGGCAGTAGTGACTCACGTGTGATGGTGTTAGGTATCTGATCCTACCAAGAGACTTGGATGTGATAAAATGGGTGGATACCCACCACTAAAAGCCCATTACTTCTTTACAGGTTAATTCAAGCTCCTTGGGATTTTAAAAAAATGAGACTTTGTTACCCTAACAACTTTTTTCTTTTTTTATAATATAGATGTGAATTGGGATAACGTTCAGAATGAAACTCCACCTACTCTCCTCCCATACTTACCCTCTACAACTAAGGGAGAGGCTGGAATGCACAGTGACTACAATGTAAAAGTTGTACACATACCTTACTATCCCATATTTGTACTGTCTGTAGTGTATACAGTTATAATGGTCATGCATAATTAATTAGGTTGTGTACACAATTGGGTTGTGGTTACCTGATGTGGTTGCTGTCATGGAGTAGAGAGTAAAGAAAAGGAGCGTGCATTTGATTAATGATAATAATATTGTGTCAACAATAGGCATAGGTGACCTTTCTAAAAACACACCACTAGCTGCCACTCTATCGGTCGAGTATTATGTAAATGGAGTTATTTTTTTGTAATAGACTCCATCTCTGCCTTGTCTATTATAATGTTGCAATAATTCTTAAGACTTTAATCATCAGATGTGCAGTGATGTGAATGATTAATTTGTAGTGAGCAAATTCCCAAAATAAAGCCATGCCAAGTTGTGTACTATATACATGTATATGCAACATCAGTCAGCCCATTCATCCTTAGATGAATGAAACTAAATCCATATCTAAACCATGAACCAATATTATAAGTGCAAGTATTGATAGACTTACATCTACACATATAGTTTCGTTCAGTGAGCTCTAGATACATTAACTGCTCATGCCTTTATTCTTAGATGCCATCTTCTACGAGTGAGCAGGACTTTGAAGACAGGTTCTTGCAGTGTTTCGGGCTCGGAGATCCCTCAAAGACAGAGTCAAAGGCTCGCTCTGGTACTGAACAAGACATACTTGACAGAGAAGAAAAACTCAAACAACAAGCCTCAACTTCAACATGGTAGCAAATCTGTACCAGTATTGAGGTATGCTCCCCCTCTCTCTTTCTCTTTCCTTTAGGCATCCGTTTGTTAATGGAGAGCTTATAATAAAGACTGGGCTTGTGGATAAAAGAAAAGTAAAAATGATACTATTACTTATTAAAACAATGCCCTCTCTTATGCACTTTTAAAACAAGTGTTTAACCTCATTTAGTAATATACTCCATTGAATAGGGCATGTTCTCTAAGAGAAGACAGCTCATACTAACTGATGCTCCTCGATTGTATTATGTTGATCCAGTGGCTATGGTACTAAAGGGAGAAATACCATGGTGAGTACAGTATGGTATTTGATGCTTTGACAGTTACCTGTGGCAGTCATGCTGGCATTCCAATTATAGTAACATAAAAATATTGACTATAATTTGTAAACATGTAAACTATCACGTTCCCCAAATGTATCATCTTACTACAACATGTGAGTTTTACCTTTTTCATTTTTCAGGTCAAGCAATATCAAAATTGAGCAGAAGAATTTTAAGATATTCTTTGTTCACACTGTAAGTCTTGCTCTATGCCTATTGAGTCATTATGTTTTATATTTATTTTATTGTGCATGCCAGTAATACCATAGATCTCTCAATAGGCCTGTTCTTATTAAACAATCTCTTAATTTTATTATTTTTACCATTATCTTCTTAGCCGAATCGGACCTATTACCTTGAAGACCCAACGGGTTCTGCCAAAAAGTGGGTAGAAACACTAAACAAGTCATTGGTTTTATACAAGTCACAGAACAAATAAATGATAGCTAGTAATTATTATACTTATTTGTGTCACATCATGCATGTTCTATCGACTGTTTTATATAGTCTTTTTTATAATTAATTATTATTTTATAATAATAATAATAGTTACATTACAACAAATGGCGTAGCTTCTGTCAAGCCAGTTTCAATGTACAAAAAACTAATATTAAAAAGACTGAGAGAATATACATATTATATATAAAATGTTAGATCTAAAACTGTACGTTAAAGTTATTGCTGAGTTTTAATGTGAATCGGTGGCAGAACTGTCTTATTGTCAAATAAATACTTTTTAGGCAAACACCATACCGAATTGATAAAACGAACTGGAGGGATCTTACACAAGAGCCTACCAATGCCAGCAGATTGCAATTTATACTTAATATACTCGAGGCAGGAGAGGAAGGAGTCAAAAAGGGTTATACGTAGGAACAGTAGTAGGAGGAGATGAAGAGGGGATGTAGTACCAATGCGATGCCTCTCAAGTGTTGCTATGGCCTGGGCTTGATGCTCTTTCTCATTCAGCCTGAATAACGCTCCATTATAAGGCGCCACCAATGAGACGTACCAACCATATTTGCTTCTGTTGAAGAGATCCCATCGGTTGGGATATATCCCAGCTTGCCTGCCAAGATCATTGACATAGATGAGTGCTTCTACTATCTTGTCTCTTGGCTGCACTGTCGTCTTGAAATATTCCTGCCAATAAGATTCATCTAATCCTGTTTCTTTGAGCCTCTTGGCTTTTGGCTTCAGTGGGATGCTACCACTGTTTATCTTTGCTAGCCATCTTGATTGCATTTCAATTATTCCAAACATGGAACCAATCACTGGACGAATGTATCCAACAAAAGCAAGGGATGGGTCTTCATTATTGAGAACATGCTTGTGTAATCGGAGAAAATTTTGTGGCCTCCTTTCTTCTGGTAAAAAAGAGAAAGACTCTTTGTAGCCTGTGCTCAGTATGACGATATCAAACTCTGAGCTTGAGCCGTCAGCAAACTTTATTTCTTTTCCATTACAGGAAGTGATGGTACTCTTAGGTATTAATCTCTTGTAGTCAACTAGGTCAAGAATGTGCCCATTCTTATTAATAAACTGATGCATAAATGGAGTACCATTTCTCCATTCTGGTATTCCATGACCTTGATAGGCTAGCAATGATCCACTGGTAGTCCACTTACATATCCATGCAAGTCCAGGCTTACTATAATGATAAGGAGCTATTTTTGTAAGGAGCCAGGAAGATGCCTTATCAAGGGCTTGTGGCTTTTTCCAAGGTAGGATCTTATTATATCGGCGAAAAAAATGCTGACCTCTTGGAACACTCCAGTAGATAGTACTGGAGTGATTAAACCAGTCTGAGCATATATCAGCAGCAGTTTCTCCTCCTCCATATATGAGGAGTCTCTTCCCACGATATGCCGCTAATGGCTCTTTGATCTCTTTTGCATGATAGACCGAACCAGTGAAATCCTTGAATGTCGTATCCTTCGGGTCAGTTACTGGAACTGTTTGCCCAGTACAAACGACAAGGAATCTGCTAGT